ACTCCTGCCAGTCATACTCTGTGATACAAAGTCAATATGAGTGAGAATTGCCTTGACAGTAATGTTTTATTACACATATGTATTACATTATATATATACAATATATGTAATGTAATACATATGTGTAATAAAACATTATATATACATTACATATAATGTAATACATATGTGTAATAAAACATATATGTAATATATTACATTATATAATATATAATGTAATATATAATATATTACATTATATATGTGTAATAAAACATTACATATATATGCATATTTCCTGTGAAAGCCCTCTTCAAGATATTAAAAAGCAAAGATGTTACTTTGAGGAATGCTGGATCCAAGCTCCATGGTATAGTGAAGCATCTCCCAAGTCTGTGGGTGCTGGGCAATGAATAAGGGAAATTATAAACAATATTGATGCGTTTGAGCAATGTTACTGAAGAATATTGAATATAACATGGACTGCTAGAAGAAGAAGTCCATCTGCCTTAGAAGAAGTATGTTCCTTAGAAGTGAGGATGATGAAACTTCTTAGATGCAGTCAATTAATGTGGCCCTTATAAACAGAACTCCTTATGTGATGTATTATATAATTTTGGATTCTATGCCTGTGGCTCTAAGACCATTTAGTAATGTACTATATTAATGGACAGGATTAGGGTGGGGTTAAGAAGTGACTTTATCACATAAAGACTTATTCTTTACAGGTAAATGATTCCGGTATCGTGATATGTGTTAGTTTACACTAGTCCAATATCCTTCCCTCAACAGTGCTTTAAAAAAAATTAGTACCAGGAGGCCAATCAATACCTATATTAACAGAAGATACTTATGCTCCAGGGACAAGAGTTACAATATTCTATACCATAAATCATCATCAACAGCAAAAAGTCTCTAAGGGGATCCAGAGGAAGATAAAAAACAGACCTGGGAGTGGATTTGGTGTTCACATTGAATCCTAGCTCCAGTTTAAGAACAATTAGTTCTTAACAGCACGATTCTGAATGAAACTCTCATGGAGGAAACTCAGAAGATCTAGGTATTACAAGCAAAGTGTGGTGAAGAAATTAGATGGTTCCCTTCTGCCTGGGCTTGTTAACACCACTACTTTCTCCCCACCGCCCCCAAGGAACAACAAGTGATCCAAATCAGTGGTGAGGAGGGTGTAGGAGGCCTGGTAGGGCGTGATCAAGGGTAATGTAACCAAGAGGGATTACTGAAACCCAAATGAAGACTGAGCATGATAGTGGGACAAGAGGAAAGTCAAAGGCAATAGAGGAAAGAGCTAGGAGGCAAAGGGCATTTGTAGAGGTCTAAATACAGGCATGTACATATGCAAATAGATTTATATATGAGGATGAGGAAATAGATCTATGTGCATATATTTATAGGTTTAGTACTAAGGTAGCAGACAGACATTGGGCCTCCACTCAAATACTCCCTCAATGCAAGAAAACTTTGTTCTATTAAACTGGCATATCATGATGCTCACCTTCCCGGTACAATCACTTAAGACAAAAATGGGTGAATAAGCAAATGTGGTGAAGAAAGTTGATGGTGCCCGGCTATCAAAAGATATAGGACCTGAGGTCTTAAAGCCTTGAAGGTAAGCAAGCGGCCATCTAGCTTAGAAGCAACAAAACCCACATGGAAGAAGCACACCAGCCTGAGCAATCACGAGGTGTCGAAGGGATAAGGTATCAGGCATCATCAGAACAAAAATCATATCATTGTGAATGAAGTGGGGAGGGCGGAGTGGAGATCCAAAGCCCATTTGTAGGCCACTGGACATTCCCTTACAGAAGGGTCTCGAGGAGGAGACAGTCAGTCAGGGTGCGATGTAGCAACGATGAAACATACAACTTTCCTCTACTTCCTAAATGCCACCCTCTCCCAACTATCATGATCCGAATTCTACCTTACAAAGCTGGCTAAACCAGAGGATGTACACTGGTACAGATAGGAACTGGAACCACAGGGAATCCAGGGCAGAAGATCACTTCAGGACCAGTGGTGTCAGTGGCGATACTGGGAGGGTGGAGGGAGGGTGGGTTGGAAAGGGTTAACCGATTACAAGGATCTACATATAACCTCCCCCCTGGGGGACAGACAACAGAAAAGTGGGCAAAGGGAGACATCACACAGTGCAAGATGTGGCAAAATAATAATTTATAAATTATCAAGGGTTTTTAAGGGAGGGGGGAATGGGGAGGGAGGGGGAAAATGAAGAGCTGATACCAGGGGCTTAGGTGGAGAGCAAATGTTTTGAGAATGAGGAGGGCAATGAATGTACAAATGTGCCTTTCACAATTGATGTATGTATGGACTGTGATAAGAGTTGTATGAGGCCTAATAAAATGATTCAAAAACAAAAAACAGAAAGAAATTAGATGGTTCTCAGCTATCAGATAAAATAACATCTGGGCTCTTAGAGGCTTGTTTTACCAGACAAGCAGTCATCTAAGTGAGGTATCAACTAAGTCCACATGGAAGAAGCACCCCAACGTCAGTGACTAAAGTGTTGTAATTTATATAACCCAAAACTACAGAAGGAAATCGTATCAGAGTTTAAATGGTGACATTCTGGCTTGCAGAAGGCTATGGGAGACAGTGGAAGCGCAAGATGCATTTGCAATATCTACACAGGAAATAAGTCTCCGGTGATTTACCTTTAACCGTAATTGAGGGATGGGAATAAACTGATTGCCAAACAGAGAGTATTAGAGGAATGAGTATAGGAGATCCAAAGGATAAACTTGAATGATTAAAATATTGTCACTTGACCCCCACCCTGTTACACTTTAGGCCTAATCTTATTTTCAATATTTTCTGTTTTTTTCATATTGAGGTTCATTTCTGATGTATTTTGTTGCCTCCTTGAATATTTATGATATGCATTTCTGTTTTTCGGTATATGAAGCCCAGGGTTGAAAAACCTATAGAGAAAACAAGGAGAATAAGAGTTCCTGGGGGTTAAGGTGGGGAAAGGCGGTTGGGTGGGGGGTGGAGGAGGGTGTAGAGGGAAGCTGATATCAAGGATTCGAGAAGGAAGAAGATGTTTAGAAACTGATTGTGGTAGCAATTGTACAATACCGCTTGATGTGGTTGAACTCTGGAATGGTATGATGTCTGTATTAGCTCCTACTAAAATTGTTTATAAAAAGGAAGTGACTTTAGTAGAAGGTATGACCCGATCACAGCCTTTCTTTCCCTGGAGGCATATTTAGATACCTGGAAGGTGTGATTTAAGACACCATCCCTTGTTTTCCTTTAGGGTACACTCTGTTAAAAGATGAACCCCACCGTAATTGAAGCCATTCTTCTGTATGTAATAGTCATCTGAACACAGAGAGAAATCCCAGGCCTGTCGGGATCCATTGGATGAACAGGACCAAGATCTCTGCCTGAAGTTCCGTAGACCATCAAGGACAGATGCGGCCGACTGTGGCTCAGAGGTACAAAGAAGCAGTGCTGAGACAGTGGGGTACCCTTTCCTGGCCCAAGATGACAGAGCTGTGTGGCAGAATAACAGGCCAGCTGGCTTCCTGGCCCAGGGAGGCAAAGGCCAACAGACCATGTCACTGAGAGACTGAGGACCAGACAAGACTTGACTGCTGCGTGAGGAGACGGTTGTTGTGGATCCTGACTGTTTACTGATGCGGACTTGCTATAAACGTCTAACTTCCCGAATAAATGCCCTTAATTTTGAGCATTGTCTGTGAGTGCTGTGTGGCCATTGCAACAAAGTATGAACCTCAGCATAGAAGCAGAGTGGAGTGGGAGGAATGGTTGGTGTCCGAATAGGTCAAGAAGAATGGATCTTGGAGGCAGGTCTGACCCATGCTTCGTGGCAATAGGGAAGCCAGGCCATTTATTACAGTTTTGTTTCATGCACTTCGAGGATGTTATCAAGAGAGACCAGACCCTGGAGAAGGACACCATGCTTGGTAAGGTAGGAGATTGTTGGAGTAGGGCTGAGACCCTAAAGAAGATGGACTGACACAGGAGTTGTAACAATGGGCTCAAACATAGCTGTCATTATGATTATGGCAAACCAATTAGCAGTGTTTTGTTCTTTTACGCATAATATCACTGAAAGCCAGAAAAGCCTTAGGGGTCCCTAACAATGGAAATTAAAAAAAAAGAAACTGTCAGCTCAGGTGTATCGCTACAAGATTATATTCTTGTAACTGGATAAAAGAGGCCTTCATTATTTTCTACCTATGAAACCCAGTAGTCTTGGGGGTCTACCCCAACAATTTTATAATCATGGGTCCCCATCACTGACATTTGCACAAAGGAATAGTTTACTATAGGTTGTTAATGAAAAGTCTTCTATGGTAAACATTCCACATTTTTTTAACCTTTTCAAAAAGGAAAAAGTGTTATAAATGCCTCAATGAACTATTTGTGAAGATTCCCAACTGTGTTAGAATTTCCCCAACGATGTCACGGGAACAGCATTTGAGTAGAATTTCTATTTGAACCAATCCCCTTGCTTTACAGATGCCATCTCTACTCAAGTTTCTTAAATAAGAATGCTTCATCTATCAGATATTATAAAACAAAATATCACTGAATTGCTCTACATGAGGCGTGTTTAGGAGAACTGTGGAGAGAAAATGGAAAAAGAATTGCAATTTTTGAAGGACTGTACTAAAGAGCAAACTATTTAAAACAGAGAGACCATTTTCAGGAAGAAAATTCAGGGAAAATTGTCCTTTGTTCCCAATCTTCTATCACATATTCTCTAAAAGCTCTGATTCAGTATAAGTATCTTGAGTCATCTGTGGTGCTGCTAATCATTCTGAAATTCTAAATGCTTTTTGAGAAGAGCCAAATAATCAGAATGACTTCATTTCTGAGCTAATGGAGGAAACCTCAGTTCTATTTTCAAGTGGATATGTTGAGCTGATCACATTTCTCTCTAAATTGCAATGAAATGATAATTGAAGTTAAAATATCTATTTCCCTGTAAAAGTGAAATTGAAATTGCCTACCTTGATTTAAAGCTGTCAGGCGGCATGAGTTCCAAAGTATGAGTTGGTCCATATAGGTTTACAACATATAATTTTACTGTTGGGTTCACTTGACCTGCCTTTGAGAAAATGAGAGTTGTAAGGAAAATACATTAAGCAGTAGAATATATTGAGAAATAAAGTGATTGTGATTGTTACTTTTTTGTGTGTTGGAGAGGGAAAGGCTTAATTTCTCTAAAGGAGAAGTGATTTTAAATTCACCAGCTGGATGGCCTTCTATTGTTTTTGCAAATTGCTGCATTTCAGAAATATTAGTCAATGAAAATTAAAGGTGGTAGAAAATCATGATGACTTTATTCATTAAAAGCATGACCGTGTTCTGTCCTCAAAATAGTACCAGAAAAGGTGGCTTTACAAAGCAACTAGTAGATGAACCATCTACTCACTTTCAGGATGTTAAAGGCCAACAGAAAGAAAACTTGGCTTAATTAGAAAAAATAAAAGAAAAAGAAAACCTATTTGCTCCAGGCACCACATACTTGCAATTCTATAAAACTTTGACTTTAACTCCTGGAATTACTAGATGGGATCACATAATTACATAAATGACCCCTGGACATGGGGTTGGCTGCCCTGGAGATGGAAGATAATGTTAAAGGCATGTAATGTGAGCTTAGTGAATCAAAATGTTATTAAATCATCACTAGTACATACAACCGTCACAACTGCCAGGGAGGTGCCGTTTCTGTGCTGTTATGTGGGGCACACAGTACATGTTACAGACACATGAGCTCCTTAAATTTCCCTACTAAGTTTTGAGGATATAGTGAAGGTCGTTTTTCTGTTAAAAATGGAAAAATTAGCGATATTTCCATTCATTTCCCAGCAATGGCCTCCAAATTTTCTCCAAATATATTACGAGCTCTTGAGGGCAGGGATGGGAAGTTTCCCCAACTTACCATAAGTACTTTCCAGATGCTTCGTAATTATATGCTGGATGATTATTGGATGAATAACAGATGTACTGAATCACTGTATTCTTTGTGAAGCAATGAACTCTTTATTATCATAGTGCTACGGCTGCATGATACATGCTGAAGAAGCTAAGGGGTAGATGAGTGAGTTGAACTAAACTAATTGACCTGGAAAAAACCTCTGGAGAGTGAAAACCAAAAAAACTATTTTAAAGAAGGTAAAGAAAGATACATGTTCAGTTGCTGTAGATAAAACTTGGGCCAAATTAGAATCAGAAAGAAACATCTCCCATTCCACCGATCATCCTCAAGAGCTGTTTTCTGTTTGTTCTTTAAGGTTATCGAAGGAGACCAGCATTTCATTGCTAATTTCTTTGCACCCTCAGTGTCTATGAAGCTTTATCGTGGAGAATTACAGCCTTCTCTATACTGACAAAAGTTCTACCTATGTTTTTTAATACTTTATATGTCATTGTTGTTTTGTTGTTCTTAAGAGAATATACCATATATACAACCAATTCACCATGCACAATTAAATGGCATTGACTACACCCTTCTTTTACAAACTGCTCTTTCATCATTAACATAAATTCATTCTCCCCGAAGTTCTCTATCTAATCTTTTGAGGTACTATTGTCAATTTGATATTAAAAAAGCAAATCTTGAAAAAGCATAATGCTCAAGACAGACTTTTTGGGGTGAGTTATATGGAACTATTTCTTAGTTCTATGAAGACTGTCACAATAATTTTAGTTAAAGATAAATATAAAGCTTAAGGATTATCTCAAGAAGACAATTCAGGAGTTCCTCCAGGTTCCATGGCTCTAGAAAGGCCATGAGAATTTGAATTCTGTTCTGCAGCTTGCTTCCATTGATCAGGATTCTTCTACAGTAGCTTTGATCAAATGTTTACCCTGTTTCCCCCCAAATAAGACAGTGTCTTATATTAATTTTTGCTCCCAAAGATGCGCTAGGTCTTATTTTCAGGGGATGTCTTATTTTTCCATGAAGAGGAATACAGTACACGTGTATTATTTATTGTTTTATTAAAAGCGACCTCACACTTCATGTCTGCTCTGGCTGCACTGTGGACAACAGTGAGCTGCACGGTGGCGCCCACAGCTATGGCCCAGAGTCGAGAGTTATGGTACCTTTGGGAGGCCTTATTTTCAGGGGGGTCTTATTTTTTGGGGGGTGCCTTATATTTCAGCAAGAGGCAAAACCGTAAGTCTTATTTTCTGGGGAAGTCTTACTTTCGGGGAAACAGGGTAGTAATCTTGGCTAGGCAATGACAGGCTGGTGTCATGGTAAAGGGGGAAGTAATTCATCTGAGCAATTCACCATACATTTCATATCCATCTACCATTCCTCACTGTCTTGGCTCCGCTGTTTCAAGTGGACCAAGAGAAAAATTGCTGGGATCTAAGGCTCTAGACTTGAGCACCCAAATCTGCCTTTAAATGATTCCCAGGTAAATTAATAGGCAGTATGTTATACAATATTGACAAACACACATGAGGGACTTTCACAAATTTCATGGAAAATACCATTATCTTTTTATTCCATTTACCACTAACTCTTTGAAGCCCCGTCCACCCCACCCCCATGTGTGTGTTTGTGTATATAGGGTCACTGCATGTATATGTGAAAGCTGGACAATGACGAAGGAGACCAGAGAAGAATTGATGCCCTTGAACCATGGTGTGGTGAAGAACATTGAGAGCACCGTGGACTGCCAGAAGGACACACAAATCTCTCTTGGAAGAACTACAGCCAGAAGGTTCCTGGAGACCAAGGACGGAGAGACTTCTTCTTTCACAAGTTACACATTTTATCAGAAGAGATCAGTCTCTGGTAAGGGCACAATGCTTGGTAAAATGGAGGGTCAAGGAAAATGAGGAAAACCCTCAGGGAGACGGGTTTTCACAATTGCTGCAACAATGCATTCAAACGTCACAGTTGTGAGGAAGGTGCAGGGCCAAGCAAGGTTTTGCTCTGTTACATATGGAGTCCCTGAGTCCAACTTAAGGCCACATAAGAATGCTCACATATAAACTTGCCTTTCTAGAAAGTTCACTTCCCAGCATAGCACAACTGGTTGAGGAACCACCTTTTTATAGCTAAGGTGGCTTAATGTATGAGTCAGAAAGATACATGTTCAAATTGTGACTCTGTTATTTGTTTAACATATTACTCCTGGCAGATTGTTAAAGATTCTCTCCATTCTTATTTTCATTTGATAAGACCAACACAACTCTAAAAATATTCAGAAGTTTTGATCCAAAGAAACTTCTATAGGTAAAAATATTTGCTAGATATTCTCACACAGAACATTATTTCTATGACTAGAAATATGCACATTTTCAAACTAAAATGAATTCTCAAAAATGACAGGTTATTTGAAAACAGTGGTTACAATTGAACGTGCAGAATAACAAAACACGTATTATAAAAAAAAGTTGTATTTTGGGGTGAGAGATGTTATGTCTATGTCTTTAAAATGTAATGCAATGATTCATAAAAAGGGAAATTAAACTATGCACTCTGTGAACTTTCAACAATGTTTAATAATTTTCCAACATATTTTGTCAGATACATATGCAATTATTTTTCATGTCAGTTGCACCATTAGCTTATATCTGAAAAAAGATTGCTTATATCTTAATTACCTTCTACTTAAACACATTTAAAATGTGTACACATTGGATCAGTTTTTAAATTAAAACTGAATTTAAACAGGCTGTCTCCAAAATTCAGCTTTTAGGCATACATAATTTCATTATCCTAACAGATGATTAGATTTTTATATTCCCATCAAGTCTGGAAATCGATGCACATTGCAAATTTATTTGTACCTTTTAATATTTGAATTGTTTCAATAGTCTGGAAATATTGGACTTCGTCTATTTGCTTTTACCGTCCCATTTTCCATGGAGACTGCAAATTCACACAATTCTTTCCTCTATAATTCTGAAACACGTGCCCTCAGTAATAATTAACCTTATTTTACTGGAAAGTAAATTGCCATTAAACGAGATAATGTTTTAATTAAAAAGATTAACCTGAGGTTATGGAGATAGAGCTGTGCATCTCTTTTGTGCTGAGTTGCTAATGACAGGGTTTTTTTTATGAGTCCTGAATCATGCTGAATTAAGTAAAATACAAATATATTTGTTTAGCGTAAGTATTTCATTAGTAAACCTCACCACATTGAGTATTTGCCGCTTGCATTTTAATCTAGTTTAATTTAAAGCACAATTTGATCTGAACTCTAGGAGTTGCTTCCATTCCTAAAGTATCATTTTTGAAAGTTTATGGCTTAAGTAAGAGCAAGTCGAACCATTCATTTGTGACTATTTGAAAATTCGAGTAGCATGTTCGCAATGATGCTGAAATGTATTCAGAGAAACAGAGCCATAATACAAATTTGCTTTCTTTTAGGTCTACTGTCTTAACTGTCTGGGTAGGTAGTTATTCCTACATAACACAGCATGAGAACTTAGAATTCTCTCTTGGCTTTGGCCTCTACTATTTAGTTTTACATAGTTAGTCATTTGGCCTTTGTTTTTTCCCATACTTTCCAAGAGTAAACATTAACATTCAGAACCTTCATCATCACGTCTGCCTACATCTAGTAGTGTGAGGCTATCTAAACATGTATCACTATATAGCTATCATTGGCTGTAGATGAAGAAAAGAGTGTCAAGAACAATGATTGCCTTGTCAAGGACATGTCTTGATACCAGCTACCTCTTTAAAGTCATAAATTGACCTTTGGCAGTTACAGAAAGCTGGATAAAAGCAATAGGTTTGAGCTCTTTCTCCACTTTAAGTAAAGTTCTGTGAGTTTGGTTAAAAACCAAAAGAAAACATCTGGCCTGCTAGAATCTGTTTGCCTATTTGTATAATAAATTTGTGAAAGGAAAAAAAAAAAGAGCAAGGGGGAGTAACTCTGAAAGAGAAAGCATACAAACACATGAGATCTATAAAATTAGTAAACAAGCATTGCATTGCTGTAATTACTTCTGTGGCTATCTTAACCCTGCTGTTGTTAAGTGCTACCAAGTGCGTGCCAACACAATGACTTACGATGACTTACTGCCCAGTCCTGCACCATCCTCACAATTGTCATGTTGGAGCCAATTGTTGCTGCCACTATATCAATCTGCCCTGTCAAGGGTTCTCCACTTCTTCAATGCCTTTTTACTTCACCAAGCGACCAGAAACGTTTGGTCTCTTCTGAAAACATGTCCAAATTTTATGAGATGACACCTTGCCATCCTTTCTTCTAAGAAGGATTCTGGCTGTACTTGTGAGACACATTTCTTTGTTTTTCTCACAGCCCACGGTACTATCAGTATTTTTTGCCAACATCATAATTCAAATGTATCCATGAATCTTTGGTCTTCCTTATTCAATGCATAACTTTTACATAGACATGAGGCAGTTAAAAAAAACCATGATGGGTTAGGAAACAGAACGTTAAAGGAAAAGCGATGCTGAACAAATTAAAATAAGTCTTTCCTCACTCAAAATAATATGTTACCCCCTTATACTCAAGCACCCTCTATAGATATATGCAAGCAATAAAATGAAGAGTCAGGTAAATCTTCTATTTGGGTTTTCTCCAAAGACATGGCCCAATCAGATCATCAATCAACTGACATCTGCAGAGACAGAAGAAGCTAGTGTTGCCACATGACTGACCTTAGGATATGGATACTGCTTTCCCTGGGGATATAGCGCTCCGGTAAAGCGAGGGATGACCATGTTAGGCACCAAGGAGTCATTGATCATCAGGAAGGCAAGCCTTTCTCCGTCTGGTGACCACCAGTGAGCGATGTGGGAATGGAGAAGCTCCTCTAGAAGAAACGAGCGTTAGTTGAAATCACCTCTAGTGCTGTGGGCTCCGTCACCCACCAATAGCTGTCCTTGAAATCATCATTGTCCATTCAACTGTATCTTTTTTCTAGCCAGTGTGTTGGAAGGTATAAACGTCATTGCGGAGTCTCTATTGTTGAGTTACCCATTTATATTCTGAATAAAATTACTTGCAGAAGGAGAGACGAATGAAGTAATATCCCAGGATTTTGTGGATTGACAGCAATGTGAACAAAGCAGGTGAAAGCAATATTGCAGTAAAAAAAGGTAAATGCTGAAGAGTCAGATATGACATCAAACTATATTTATGCCACCATTCATTCATATTTGCACTCAATAAAATTCCATCCTTTCATCATCAAACAGGTTCAGCATGCATTGAATTTATTAAACTATATTAGTCTCTTAGGAAATTGAACACTGGCGATCCTCCATGTGACCCCAGATCCACATTCCAGCTTATAAACCTGCTTTTTGGCTCAGAAAGTTAACTTGTGTGAGCTACAAAAACAGGGCCTCCATGCCCTCTGACTGCCAATTAGATTTGATGATTGCGGTGTTTTGGCACCAGATTCGATGGAAGAGAATAAATTCAGGCTATTTGTTCTCAGGGCTCTTTTCTTCAAAGTCGGCTCAGGCTGTCTATTGGCTTTGAATGAGGTCACACTCAAGACAATGCATTCTGCTCTACACAAATTTCTCCTAAACTATCTGATAATGTCTCATCTCTATTGGCCAACAGTTTAGCTGCTACTAGTATAGATTTTTGTGGTTTCCTTTTACCTGTCCTTTATATAAATACATGTTCCTTAAGTAATCCTACTCTAAAAATATCTTTTTTTGGTTTTTCTCTTTTAAGTCCTTGACTGATAAAGTAATTAATAGACAGTAAAGTCAAAATAGAGAACCTCACCATTAGAGTCTGGGATAAGTTGAGCATACATATGAATAATTTAATAATAATTACATTTCCATAGGTAAATGTGATGTGGGCACTCCACAATAAGTTGTGTTATGATTAATCGATTATCATTTATGTAGTGAAGAATGACATTGGGAGTATAAGAAGATATATTTATTTGTGTTATAAAATATTGATGATTATGGGATTACTACATACACATTGTTCTTCTGACACTCTAGAGAATTACATAGACCAGAGAGATAATAAAATTATGGAATGAAATTATTAACAAATGGCATATTTGCTTTAGTTTCCCTTCAAGAAAGATTGTCCTAAACACCAAGCTCATCATATAATACAAAAGATAGCAGGGTCGCAAAACAAGTTACGGTCTCAACTTCATAGCTTTCTGTACTAGGACAAAGATGCTGGTGAAGATGATCTTACACCTGGAATTTAGGATAGGGAGATGTGGTAAACACATGCCGTGAACTCACGCTTTCTGAACAGTTACTGTGTCAAACTTCTCCGTTGGGTTTCTGAGGCTGTAAATCGGTAGAGGAGTAGAAAGCCTCATCTTTCGCCCTCAGGGCAGCTGGTGAATTTGAACTGCTGACTTCAATGTTAAGCCAATGCATAACCCCCTATGCCACCAGTGTATCTGCTGTTGTTAGGTACAGTCAAATTAGTTCAACTCAGACGTACCCTATGTACAACAGAACACTGCCAAGACCTGTGCCATCCTCACAAACAATCATGTCTGAGCTATTTTTGCAGCCAAGGCACCATTACATCTCATCCATAATTTCTCTTATTTCACTGAACCTTTACTTTAGAAGCATGATTGTCCTTCTGCAGGGACTGGCCCTTCAAGGTAACATGTTCAAAATATGAGATGAAATCTTATCAATCTCACTGTTGAGGTGCATTCTGCCTGTATTTCTTCTAAGAAAGATTTGCTCATTTTTCTGGCGGTCCATGATATATTCAATGCTCATAAAAAGCACCACAATCTTATTGATATACCTTGAGATAGTTTATTGTGCCAGCTGATAAAGGCAGGTGGTATTGACTGAGGGGCGGAGAGATGGATGGCTTGGTGAGCCTTGTCTTTCTTGTCTCTCGCTCTGTGATCATCGGACCAGTGTGCGGCTGCCTTGCTTGTTCTGTGCCTCAATTTAAAGGCTACACTGCTTGTGGGACGCCTAGCCTGTGGACTGTGTCGCTGTAAGTTGAGGTCCCTTTAAGACTTCTCTGGAGCTGGAGACTGGCGGTTGGTGACCTGCCTTGTGATTGGCTGCTGTGCTGACATAGCCTAGTTCTCTCTACAAATAGAGGAAGATCTGGCATCAGACAGAGACTTGAAGGACTGCTAGTCTCTCAACTTTCTCTCACGGACGTGAGTTGCACTAAGCCATTTATAATGCTTTCTAATTTAACTGTTTATTTCTTGTATTGTATATTTATCTGTATATGATTTAACAGTTCATTTCTCATTATATATCTAATTATCTTTATAAATAAATATATTATATTATCAGGAATTTGGTTTTATCTCTCTAGAGAACCCTGTCTAACACATACCTCTATAAATAGCTCTTGCCTTTGATTTCTTTCCTCTATTTCCTTTTACCCTCCTCCTGTCCCACTATCCTGCTCACCCTCCATCCGGCTCTCAGTCACTCCTCTCGGATACATTGCACTTGATTAAACCCCACCAGGCATTATATACCCTCCTCACCATCAGTTTTAGGTCTCTTGTTGTTCCCTTATCCCCGAATTTGTTGGCTCTCCACTCCCCCTCCTTACCCCCTCCTCTCCCACATCCCCTTGGAACCGCTGGTCCCTTAGTTTTCTCCTCTGGATTGTTCATCCCATCTATCTTAGATAGACATAGGGTGAAAAAAGAAGGAAAATGAAAACAACAAAACAAACAAAAAAAATAGTTCCTTAGGTATAGCTTTAGGCATGTTTATATGTAAATATAGTGAATTACAATGAAAGGGATAGGGGCCAATGTACATAGGTGTATACGTTAAGTATTAGCAGATGGACTTCGGGCCTCTACTCAAGGCTGCTTTTAACCCAAGAATACTTTGCTTTAATAACCTGGTACTCTTTGATACTCACCTTCCCAATGCGATCTCTGAACACAAAATTGGGGCAATAAGCAAATGTGGTGAAGAAAGCAGATGGTGCCTGGCTATCAAAAGGTATAGCATCTGGGGTCTTAAAGGTGTGAAGTTAAACAAGCAGTCATTTGCAGGGAAGCAAGTAAGCCCACATAGAAGAAGCACAGCAGCCTGTGTGATTAAGTGTCAATGGGATCAAGTATCAGGTATCAAAAGATCCAAAGCAAACAATGATAACAATGTGAATGAGGGGAGTTGGAGTGGAGACCCAAAGCCCATCTGTAGACAATTGGATATGCCCCCACAGAAGGTTAAAAGGAAAGGATGATTCAACCAAGGTGCAGTATAGCACCGAGGAAACACACATCATTTTTGTAATTGCTGGATGCCTCCTCCGCCCTCCCCTACTACCATGACATAGTTCTACCTTGTAAATCCAGCTAGACTGGAGAACACCCATTAGTGCATATAAGAGCTCTCAACACATGGACTTCAAGAAAAACCCCTCAGGTACAGTAGTGGGAGAAGCGACATCATGAGGGTAGGTGGTTGGTTGGAGAGTGGGAAGAAGGAAAAGGGGGAACCCATCACAATGTTGGATATGTAGCAACCCCCATCAAAAGGAATGAATAAGAGAAATGTGGGTGAAGGGAGACAATGGACAAGGTAAGACACAAAATACTAACAATATAAAATTGATCAAGGATTCACGAGGGTGAGAGGATGGAGCGGGAAAGAAGGGGTTCAAAAAGAGGAGCTTATACCAAGGGCTAAAATAGAAAGAAAATGTTTTGGAAATGATGATGACAACATATGTCCAAATATGCTTGATATAACTGAT